GCCAAGACGAGACCTGCCGGAGGAAGCTGCTCAGGGAAGATCGGCTCCAGGAAAGGGCACCAGGATGCCAATATCTGAAAGCCGCAGAATGAAGCCGGATTACAACTAGCCCGGGGTGCTGGTAGGCAATCACCACCCTGTATGTGACCCTAGTCAGGTTAATTGGTTGGTTAGAACCACTATGTAAACCGCCTAGAGACCCTTCGGGGTCAGGGCGGTATATAAGCCGAAGGTATAAAATAATAAATATATATATAAATGGGGAACTTGGGTGTTTCCTCTAGATTAACAGCTGCAGGCTCCCTAAAACCATTGTGATTAAGTTCTGCCCTTTCTGTGGTCTGATGGCATCCTTGTTGGATCAGGTCAGCAAGCAAGTTCGACATCAATGGTAAGCATTGTGCCGAGAGAGGGCACCTCCGCTTACCAAACATCCAAGGAAGCAGAGCATGTTTCCAGTATTCAGATGTTTCTCTTCAGCACCTTCCCTCTCCCACAGTGTGAGATGCTTTTGTTCACGTGCCATCCAGCAGGTGATTGTTGTTGCGTGGTGGTGACCTCTGTTATAATACACTGAGTGGGAAGACTACCCTAACGCAGTGCTTTCTGATGGCATATCACTGTGCGGCAGAGACGGAAACCAGCCTTTACCTAGAAATTAGGCTTGCAAAGATGGACTAGAGCTCTTTATTATATTTTTAGAAAAATAGTTCCGTAAACAAAGCCGTTCATACACATTACAGTGAGTTCTCTTCTTTCATGTAAAGGTGACTTCCAGTGTAGCCCACCAGGTGACTTAAGCCTTCCTCGAAAGGATTGTAACCTTGTTCCTTTAAGCTGCGTAAAGCCCAAAAAAGCTGATCTCCCGAGGGGAACTCTTCCCATTTCACCCACTTCCAACCTAGACGGCAGAGAGAAGCCAGTTAGTTTCAAGTTCATTGTCACTCTATAGCTATACTGACAGATCTAAGTTTTTAAAATTTATTTTCAGGCTTGGGTCACCGGGCTCTGGTTGGCTCACAGCATTCAATAAAGCAGTCTACAAATAGGGATAAAGCATACTTACAAACAGGGCTTTTTTTGTAGAAAAAGCCCAGCAGGAACTCATTAGCATAATAGGCCACACCCAATAGCAGAAACTCGTTAGCATATTGGGCCACACCCCTGACAGCACCACTCATTAGCATATTAGGCTGCACCCACATGTTCCCAGAAGTGTGGTCATCCAGCCACACCAACCTTTTGCTTCTTATTCTGTTTACCATGTTTGTTGTCAAAACCCAAAGCTTTTTTGTAGCAGGAACTCCTTTGCATGTTAGGCCACACACCCCGAATGTAGACAATCCTAATGAGTTCCTGCTGTTGGGTGTGGCCTATTATGCTAATGAGTTCCTGCTGGGCGTGGCCAACTCGGGAGCCAGCCGGAACTCCGTTCCTGTGCATTCCTGCCCAAAAATAGCCCTGCTTACAAAACATATAAGTTGCAATCCATAAAATAGCATCCTAGCGCAGGTATCAGAACAGAACATGGTCGTTTGGCCCCTGACAACACAGCATCCTAGACTGCTGTCAAGAACAGGCAGCACTGCCAATAAGTGGTAGAAAACTGGCCTCAACCGTCCTCACTGGGAAGCCTGGTGGAACAACTCCACCTTACAGGCCGAAAGGAATCTAGAAGGATCCTGCAGGGCCTGGACGTCATCTGGTAGAGAGTTCCACCAGGCAGGGGCACGTATTGGAAATCTCTTGCCCCCATGGAGGAGAGCTGAGCCATCTTTGGGCCAGCCACCATCAGCAGACCATATGATGAACAATGAAGCGTCCTTGGGGCATTGGTAAGGTGCAACCTTTTACCACAAACGGGTCGTTTTGTAGAAAAAGAGCCAGGGGAACTCATTAGCATAACTCATTAGCATAAGGCCACACCCCCTGACATCACCGAGTGTGTCATAAGGCCACACACCCCACCCCCAACGGTCCTGGCCGCTGCTGGTGGCCTTGTAGCTCCACTGCCGTGCCCCATGAGGGGCCCGGTGGTGGACCTGCAAGGCCGGCGGGAGTGCAAGGAAGCCCCGTGAAGGCAGGCAGGGGTGGGGAGAGGCAGGGAGGAAGCAATTTACCCTACCTCTTCTCCTGCCTCCTGGCTGAATGAGGGCCGGAAGTGGGGCGGCCGGAAGCAGGGGGCGGGGTTCATCATGTGCCCCGCCCCCGTACCTCACCCCGGGGGAACTGCGATCCCCCGCGATCCCCCCCGAAATGACCTCTGACAACAAACATGTAATAATGTGGAGAAGGAAGGGGCAACTCTCCCCTTCCTCTTGCCCTGTGCCGTCAGAAAAACCGCTACCTGCAGGGTTTAGTTTACCCTTTATCAGTTGGTGGCATGTCTTAATATTTCTCCTTTGTGATAAAGGAGGCAACTGATCATATGATAGAAGTTCCAAGCACCTCAGTCCTCTCACTTAAAGAATGAAAAAGACACCCTTGCTGTAGTAGTAAGCTTAACTCAGCTGCTTTTATCAAGAGTTTCCACAAGAAATGTCTGTGGAGTTGGCCCTGAGAGACTGGTCTACATTTCTTCCAGTTTGAGGGTCAAGAGGGAATTGGACAAGCATATGGTGCAGAGGTCCATCGGTGGCTATTAGCCACAAGGTATAGATAGGGACTCCGGGGCAAGTGATGCTCTGTATGCTTGGTGCTGGGGGGTCAATAGTGTGAGGGCTCCTAGTGTCGTGGCCCCACTGCTGGACCTCCTGGTGGCACCTGGTATTTTTGGCAACTGTGTGACAGTGTTGGACTGGATGGGCTGTTGGCCTGATCCAACATTGGCTTCTCTTATGTTATGTAGGGTGACTAGGGAGGTTTCAATTTGTTAAGCAACACAAAGCATATATGTTGTCGAAGGCTTTCACAGCCGGAGTTCATTGGTTGTTGTAGATTTTCCGGGCTTTATGGCCGTGGTCTTGGCACTGTAGGACCTGACGTTTCGCCAGCAGCTGCGACTGGCATCCTCAGAGGTATAACAGACCACGGCCATACAACCCAGAAAATCTACAACAACCAACAAAACATATTTTGACACCCCCAACCCCCCCCCATTAAATTTACAGGCCTTTGGATGATGCTAAAAACATTTTATACCTTCAGTGCTTATATTTGCAAAATGAAATCTGAAAGGAATGCAGAACTGAGGTTAAGATAGTAGAGTATCAATTCTCCAAAGAAAATCTCTGCTGTTCCATGACCACAATAAATGGTTGCTTAAACAGAAAATGGGCAAGAGGTCAAGAGGCATATTTAGTTACACTAGAGATCACGTACAAGTGCACAAAATGTACCCTTTCATGCATGTTGGAAATTATGCCCTTTGCAGGAGAAATGGATAACTAGTACACAATGTTCACTGAAAACCACTATAGTATCCTACTTTCGTTTTTATCAAGTTCTAAGTTCCTCGGTTCTGATTCATAATCGAAATCCACCTCTCCTTTCATTAGGATAGTGATGTAGTGGTAGTTATCCTTCTCGCTAACAGCATTCACGGTTGAAGCAAAGCGGACGTTTGTTAGGTGAAGAGCAGTCTCCTCCAGGGTTTCTCTTTCCGCACATTCTGCAAAGCTTTCACTAGACAGGTAAGAAGAGAGTTAAAAAGTTGAAGAAACCTGAAAGACTGGTGCTTTTTAAAAGGCTAGAGGGGGGGGGGGAGGGGGGGGGGGGGAATAGCAGCCTGAAGCATTAGAAAAGCTAACTATTAACCAACCAGCATCCAAGTAACGGGTGTGTGTTTGTGTGACAAAATGGCACTGCGAAAACGTTCCTTGGGATCTGTTTGAGAGACTGTATGGGAATGGTGTCGAACATGTTTGCTAGGTTAAAGGCAGTAAAAGTCAACCTGGGAGTCATATTTATTTGATTTTTATCTTGCCCTCCCCGCGGACGGGCTCAGGGTGGGTTACAAAGTCATACAGTCTCAGCAACAATAATAGAAACAGCAATCAAGCTTCGTGTTGCTATACTGGAGGAATGGTGTTCCATACTGATAGAATGAACTCCCAGAGGACAATCAGGGCCCTGTGGGACCTTTTACAGTTCCGCAGGGCCTGTAAAACGGAGCTCTTCCACCAGGCCTTCAATTAGGGAGCCGTACTACATAAAGTGAGGCCCCAACATTAACATCATTATCAACATTAATACCACCACCAACAGCCTGCCATAACTCGGACTATGACTTTTAGCTGACTGCATACTTGTGAATGCTGCTCATGTTCGCCATCGTAATATTATATGTACTAGCAATTTATATCTTATGTTTTTCGATTATACTGCTGTGCTTTTATGAATTCCCTGTTTTAGGTATTTTATACAGTTTTTGTAAGCCGCCCTGAGACTGCCTTGCAGAGAGGGTGGGATATCAGTAATAATAATAATAATACTCAGTTTAGGCTGATCACAGAGTCAGCGACACAAGATTTAAGCACTTGTGGCTTTCCCCTTCGTCTGCACACACTGCAAAAGGGAGGGAAAGGAAATACAGTCTCTCACTGGCTGAAAAGAGACTGTGTATCCTATAAGCACAGAGACAGATAAAAAGGTAAAGGTTCCCTTGCTCGAAAGCCAGCCGAATCCGACTCTTGGGTTGCGGTGCTCATCTCCGTTTCAAAGCCGAAGAGCCAGCGCTGTCCGAAGACATTTCCGTGGTCATGTGGCCGGCATGACTAAACACCAAGGCGCACGGAACGCTGTTACCTTCCTACCAAAGTGGTACCTATTTATCTACTTGCAATTTCTTGCTATCGAACTGCTAGGTTGGCAGGAGCTGGAACTAGCGATGGGAGCTCATTCCATCATGCGGCACTGGGTCTCGAACTGCTGAACTACTGACCTTCCACAGCCTGCAGTTCAGCGTCTTAACTACTTGAGCCACCGCAGCTCTTTACAGAGACAGAAGTCACTGGATATTCAGTGAGACTCTACGTCTGACCTTCAGCAGCAGAGGGATTCTGTACAACAATGATACTTAGTGGCTTGGGAGCCAAGTATGGCTCTTCAGGGCACTGCTGCCCAATGTGGCACCTTGCTTATGTTTCAGGAAAGTAGGTAAGGCCCTTGCCCAGTGGGGCTTGTGGTTAGCAGATGGTTCTATTGGGTTAAATGTAAAAAAAACCCCAAACCCACTTTGACTTGGAAGCACAGAAGCGTTATGCAGTATCCCCGATTCCTCCACCTTTCCTGGCTAACTGGAAAATGCTGTTCAAACAAATTACAAAGATGGTCTGACTCCAATGGTAACAAGAGGAAGAAATTTTACTTGACAAAAATAGAAGCACGTCTTACACGACATATTCAGGTAGGTACATTTTAACTTATTGGGAACAGATGTTCACATGCTACAGCTCCAAGCCAAGGTAAGACAGAGAAGAAGAGAAGCCCTATATACGATGATTGTGAGACTGCCTCTCCCCATATGTGCCCTGGAGAAGCCTTGTGCTCCATCAATCAGCATCTGCTGGTAGTCCCCGGCCCGAGGGACATCCGTCTATCCTCAGTCAGGGCCAGGGCCTTTTCTGGCCCTGACCCCGGCCTGGTGGTACAAAGTTCCGCTTGAGATCAGGGTCCTGCGGGACTTATTGCAGTTCCGCAGGGTGGCCTGCAAGACAGACCACCAGGCCTGTGGTTGAGGCAGAGGGCGTCCAATGAAGCCGGCCTCCCTCACCGAAGTCTGTCATCATCATTATTCGGCCCAGATTAAGAAGATCTCTGGATCCAACCGCTCCAGCTGAAACTGTGGTTATACACAGTTGTTTTAAATTGTATTACTTAGTTGATTTAAATAGTGTCATACTTATGAATGTATGTTTTCATCTACTTATGACGTGATCTGCTCTGAGCCCACTCGTGGGGAGGGCGGAATTAGGGTCGCCAAGTCCCCGCTGTATGTACAGCGGGGACCTCCAGCCCCATTCCAGGAGCGGGCGCGTAAAGCGCATGCGCGCCGCAACCACGTCACCCGGAATTGACACGCCCGGCGTGGCTGCGTCACTTCCGGGTGATGTGCTAACGCTGGGCACTTCACATGCTTTGGGGGTGGGGTTCCCCCGGGGCCCGATCCGCTGGCGGCGCTAACGGGCCTCTGGGGCGGGGTTTTCCCCGCCCCCCGGGGGGACGTGGCAAGCCTTGGCGGAATCCAAATCCAAATAAATAAATAATAAAACAGAAGGCAAGCAATGGCCAAACAGGCTCATCACATAACTGATGAGAGGGCGGGGCCAAGTGTTATCTGAGTGAGAGAATTCTCTTAACTCCTTCCCTCCCAGATCCTCATGCATGCAGAGTTACAATATCTGAGAGGTTCTCCCCTTGAAAAAACCAATGCAAAAGGAATGGGCAAACCAGGGGTGTCGAACTCATTTCTTATGAGGGCCGGATCTGACATAAATGAGACCTTGTTGGGCTGGGCCACGTGTGTCGTAAACTGTAATGTCAGGTAGCGGAGATATAAACTTTATAAAGGACGCAAACACAAAGGGTTTTTTTTTTAAACTTAAAATAAAAACATGCTTAAACCATTAGTGCTCTTGCAATATTCTATTTATTTAACAGTGTCTGATAACTGACACCTCTTGCTCTGAATTAATGCATCAAAATGTCTGTGCTGTTGCAATCTTGAGTATGCTGTGCAGGTGTGTATCTGTAAGCTGCAAACCTACGATGACGCAGCAGTGGCAGAACTGGAAGAAGAAGCAGAAGACAGACCAGTCCCACTGTGGGCCTGATAGAAGCCCTCCGGGGGCCTGATCAGGCCCCCAGGCCACACGTTTGACACCCCTGGGGTAAACTGTGAGCCTCCCTGAGGTTCAGTCTTCATGACAGTGATGGAAGTAAATGTGGCTCTTTTGCAATGTTCCCTCTAAGCCGTGGAGTCCTGTGAGCAAAGATTCTACTTTGTGAGCTACTGGCATTAAAGTTGTGAGTGAGCAATCTGGCTATTGCATAAATCAGTTTGCTCTGGGGCCATCCCTTCCTGAGCTAAGACAAAAATCTGTGAGCTGGAGGCTAAATAAAACCTGTGAGCTAGCTCACACCAATTCAGCTTAGAGGGAACACTGGTTGACAGTCATTGCGAATGTGTCAAGCCACAGACTGAGCAGCACCACTGCTGTACAAGAATAAAGATACTGAGGGAGGGAAAGTGTAGGAGATTCTCTCTGTTCTCTATCTGACTGTTGTTCTGTAGAATGGGCAGAGGGCAGTACACGATAGACCTCCACAGCAGCATTCACCAGGGGGAAGAAGGAATTCGTAATGATGCTTCCTCTGCTGTGTTCCTCACTACATGCGGGCTTAGTCTTTGTTAGGGCTCAGGATGATTCTCTGCCTAGACACACTGAGGGCCTCCCAGCTTCAGAAAGTGCACGTTGTTCCACAAGGAGACCTGGCAGGGCAGGGGATGTGGGGAACACACATATCCGGAGTGGCGCTACCTCCCAGAAAGGGAGAAAAGGCACAGCACTGAGGAACATTGCAGAGGAAACGGAACTGGTGAGCCACACAAACTGCGTCAAGAGAAAAAAGCAAGGGAGCCACAGCCTGGGTAGCCCAGGCAAGCCCGATCCTGTCAGATCTCGGAAGTGAAGCAGGGTCAACTCTGGCAAGGGATGGACGGGAGATTGTAGTGTCCGCTGACCGCCACCGGAGGTCAGCGCATATGCCCAAGCTTCGGTCCGTAACAACAATGGGGACTAGGATCCTAGTCCCTCCACTGGGGAACCAATGGGATCCGTGGCGGGAGATTTGAACCCACCAATGGTGACCAGGGGCGGTCCCCAGGCGTGTATATAGTTGGCCTGCCGGCCGTTTATCCCTTTGTCTTGTTGTGTGCTAATAAAGCGTGCTATGCACCACGTCGTTGTCTGTCGTTCATCCATGCGGCTACCCACTACATAACAGAGATGTAGTGTATTCAAAGCTGCCTTGAATGCATGACATGTTGTGAAACATCTAACTGAACTGTAATGTTAAGCTTCGTCCTGGGCTAGGCTCCAAATCTATCCAATCGTGTTAGTAGCCCAGGAAGTAGTGGGATCTAATATGATTGGACCTTATCTCTGCAACCTCATAGGTTGATATTTGTACAGTGGGTGTGGCTACATTAGCCGGGAATGTTTAAAAGCAGGACAGCTGCAATGTAAAGGCTGTTCTGGCTATCTGATGTTGATCCGTGTTGGAGTTGGGTTCGAGTTGAAGAATAAAGTTGTGTTCTTGCTGAATCACTCTCCGACTGCTTTGTTAAGCGAGCGACTTAACAAGAGACCTCCTTGGGATACCAGCAGTCGGGAGGCAGGGGCAGGCTTCATTCAGATACCTCTCTGAATATCCTCCAGGCCCCCAGCAGGGGTCAGTCACCAGAGGTCGCCATGACTTCCAGGTGCACTCGGACATACGAAAAATACCAAAAAAGAAACGAGAGAGAGAGAGAGAGAGAGAAGGGCAAGGAGGTGGGAGATCTAGTCTGCGCACCCCTGCTATATTGTACAAAAACAGTGATCTGGAAATTAATTTTGAGGCAAAGAAAGAAATTGTACAGAATATGCAAAAGTACAATATGAATATAAGAGGACTGGGAAAATGTAGGGGGAGGGAGTCTTTTTGTACATGTGACAAAGGTTTTGAAAGGTGGTCTGACTAAAGTCAGTAGGGGAAGTTGTATGGGAACATGGCAGGGGAGACCTTGGTATGGTGCATCTTGGCCTGCAAGATGTTCTGTGCATAAGGAGAGAATCTGGCTCCTATTTGCACCTGCTGAATTTCCCTCTTCATGTAACTGTTAGGGGTGCACTCCTGTAAGCAGAAAACCTTACAGGATGCAGTTGGGAAAGCTTCTGCAGAAGTATGCATTAAGATCTAGCTGTACAGCTATAAAAGGTAAAGGTTCCCTTGCTTGAGAGCCAGTCGAGTCCAACTCTAGGGTTGCGGTGCTCATCTCCGTTTCAAAGCCAAAGAGCCAGCGCTGTCCGAAGACATTTCCGTGGTCATGTGGCCGGCATGACTACACACCAAGGCGCACGGAACGCTGTTACCTTCCCACCGAAGTGGTCCCTATTTATCTACTTGCAATTTCTTGCTTTCGAACTGCTATGTTGGCAGGAGCTGGAACTAGAGACGGGAGCTCACTCCGTCATGCAGCACTCGGGTCTCGAACTGCTGAACTACCGACCTTCCAGAGCCTGCAGTTCAGCGTCTTAACCACTTGAGCCACCGCAGCTCCCTATATACAGCTATAGGTCTCTTGCCCTCTTTTGCTTCTGGCATTCCCACAGCAGACACCTCAGATGCCCAGGGAGTGCTGAAATTAACCCCTTTACCTTGACCTGGCCCAGACTAGCCTGATCTTGTTAGATCTCAGAAGCTTAGGGTCAGGCCTGGTTAGTATTTAGATGGGAGACCACCAAGGAATACCAGGGTCATGACACAGATGTAAGCAATGGCAAACCACCTATGAATGTTTCTTGCCTTGAAAACTCTATGAGGTCGCCATAAGTTGGCTGCGATATGATCACAAAAATACCGGTATCTAACTTTGATGAAAACTGGTTAGTGAGAAAAGCAGAGTAAAATCTTAAGTGCGTACAAAAGGATGCAGCGGCTACTTTGGTAATTAGGGGAAAAAAATCCCTCTTGAGATTTTTCTAAACAATGAAATATCTGCAGTGGACTTTTGTGAGTCCGTGTTTTGGCTACTTCTCTGGAATGTCAACACAGGAAAAAAAGGAAACACATCTGACGCATGATGTCCTGAGAAATTCTTGCCCTTGCAATGTTCTATTCTTCCTGTTGGTGCATGCAGATATGCTGGGGGGGGGGATGCTACAAGGCAGAGCAAACTGCGATGGAGTCCCCTGAGGACAGTGTAAAGGTAAAGGTTCCCTTGCTCGAAAGCCAGTCGAGTCCAACTCTAGGGTTGCGGTGCTCATCTCCGTTTCAAAGCCGAAGAGCCAGCGCTGTCCGAAGACGTTTCCGTGGTCATGTGGCCGGCATGACTAAACACCAAGGTGCATGGAACGCTGTTACCTTCCCACCGAAGTGGTCCCTATTTATCTACTTGCAATTTCTTGCTTTCGAACTGCTAGGTTGGCAGGAGCTGGAACTAGAGACTGTACCTCCCCTGAAATAACTTAGTTCTTGTAACCACCCCCCATCTCCAATTTTTGTACAGAAGAGCCAGCCTGCCTGACCAAGAGTTCTGGAGAACTCAAAAGCCTGCACATAGTGCTTGTGCTTGCTGTAAGTTAACTGGGTGAGCCCTGATAAAAGGCCTTTTGCCCCTTGCTTCTGCGTTTGGTGTTTGTGGAGGGCTTTAAAAGCTGCATATCCAGTTTCAACGAGCAAAACTGAGTGGTGTTTGAAGGGTTAACCCCTCTATTGGTTCCCTGAGCAGCCCAAGACAAACTGAGGCTGCACAAGCCTGCAATTTGTGCACCCTGGACAGAACTGGACTCCTCTCACCTGCCTGAGTCCTCTTCCAGAGGCTCTGAAGATCCTTTTAAACAAACACCCCTTGAAACACATAAATTACTTGGAATATTGTCATTATGGGTGGCTAAAGCAGAGGAGTCTGGATTTACCAACCAGAGTTGCTGGATCCAGGTTGGGAAAATCCTGGATATTTGGGAGTGGAGCCTGGGGAGGGCAGAGACCTCAGTGGGGTGCAATGCCACAGAGTCCACCCTCCAAGGCATCTGTTTTCTGCAAGGGAACTGATCTCTGCCGTTTGGAGATGAACTGTAATTTCAGGGGATCCCCAGGCCCCGCCAGGAGGCTGGCATCCCTATTTACCACAGATTTTTTGGGTAAAACCCTAGAGTGTCTTGCTTGCTCCCAGGGGCCGCTGTGCTGGCTGTGGCCAGCATTTCCTCCAGGGGAACGGATCTCTGTAGGCTGGAGATCAGTTGCAAATTCCGGGGGGACTCCAGGCGCCACCTGAGAGTTGGCAACCATACCAGCAAAGCTCTTTGCCACCTTGGTTCAGCACCTGACTTGAAGAATAAAGAAACCAGAAGCGCCCTGTAATCCGAGTGGCATTTTTGTGGCTACTCTACCGCCGGTGGAGAAAAGGAACCCGCTTGTTGTTGGCACCAGCCTGTGCCCGTGGCCGCCGCGCTCCCCTACCCGAACTCCAGGTGTCCTCCGGGGAGCTGGAAGGCGCCGGCGCCGACTGCACCCTTCCTCCGGCCCAGGAGGACACAGCCCGGGTGGGCCCGGCTGAGCACCACCACGCCGACGCCGACACCGGGCCGCTGCCGGCAAGCCATGCTGACTGTCGCCCTCGGAGCTCAGCTCCGCCCCGCTGGAGAGGAAGGACCGGCCTCCTTTCTGTCGGCTCCCATTTGTTGCTTGCGCTCGGAGGCCCCGCTTGGCGCCTCCGTGCGCCTTGGTGTTTAGTCATGCCGGCCACATGACCACGGAAACGTCTTCGGACAGCGCTGGCTCTTCGGCTTTGAAACGGAGATGAGCACCGCAGCCCTAGAGTCGGACTCGACTGGCTTTCGAGCAAGGGAACCTTTACCTTTACTTAAGCCCCCGAAATGCCGTCGGTTGTCTGGCAAAGGGTTGCCAACTGGCCTGGAGAAAAACGAACTGTTCCTTTCCCAGAGGCTTGACTTGGATGTAATTTACCGCCATGGCATTAAGCAGCTGTTTTGCACACCTTAAGCCGCTGTGAAAGGGGCAGGTCAACTCACACGAGAGAATCATTCTCTCCTCAAGTCAGTGGCAGTGAAAAGTGTTCCAGGGTTTAATTCCCTAAAGGGCTAGCGACTTGTTTAAATAAAGATAGAAGCTGGGAATTCAGAGGAACTAGTAGACTGGAGCAATAAATCGTTGTAACTTTTTTTTTTTTTTTTAAGTCAGTGAATGGCAGCAATGCGGGCAGGACCGCTAAAAACATCCACCTTCCTATCCCCATGGTGTACAAAAGGCGCTTTGATTGTGATCTTTAAGGGAAAAAAGATATCAAACCTGGGAAAACCCGTACAGTGGATCAGGGGACAATGTTTTGTGGATCCCCCCCCAGCCTTGCAAAACCTCCGTCTGAAGGCATCCAGGGTTTTCTGAAAGGAAAGATCCTGCCCCCAATACGGTTGCCAGCTCTAGGTTTGGGGGAAAGCTTGACATTTGGGAGGTGGAAGCTCAACATCAAAAAAACTAAGATCATGGCATCTGGCCCCATCACTCCTTGGCAAATAGAAGGGAAAGTCATGGAAGTAGTGATAGACTTCACGTTCCTGGGATCCCAGATCACCACAGACTGTGACAGCAGCCATGAAATTAAAAGACGCCTGCTCCTTGGGAGGAAAGCGATGGCGAACCTAAACAGCATGATAAAAAGCAGAGACATCACCCTGCCAACAAAAGTCCGCATGGTCAAAGCAATGGTATTCCCAGTAGTCATGTATGGCTGCGAGAGTTGGACTATAAGGAAGGCCGAGCGCCGAAGAATAGATTCTTTTGAACTATGGTGCTGGAGAAGACGCTTGAGAGTCCCCTGGACTGCAAGGAGATCAAATCAGTCAATCCTAAAAGAAATCAACCCTGACTGTTCCCTGGAAGGCCAGATAATGAAACTGAAGCTCAAATACTTTGGCCACCAAATGAGAAGGGAGCCCTCACTGGGGAAGACCCTGATGCTGGGAAAGATTGAAGGTCAAAGAAGACGGGGACGGCAAAGGATGAGATGGTTAGACAGTCTCATCGATGCAACGAACATGAAATTGAGCAAACTTCAGAGGACGGCGGAAGACAGGAAGGCCTGGAGTGAACTGGTCCATGGGGTCGAGAGTCGGACTCGACTGTGCGACTGAACAACAAAAAACCTGAGGAGGGCGGGATTTGGGGAAGGGAAGGACCTCGGTGGGTCATGTATGCCATAGAGTCCACCTTCCAAAGTGGCTATTTTCTCTAGGTGAATTGATGTCTATCATTTCGACATCAGTCATGATAGGTAGATATCTCCAGGCGCCACCTGGAGGTTGGCAACCACACCCTCAGTTTCCAAAGTAACTGCTGAGCAAATGCAATTAGTTACAAGTCGTTGGGTTTAGTGGGGAGGGTGGGGGACCCAAAGTGTTTTTCAAGAATGACATTCTTTCAACAACAAAAAAAGCTGTAAAGGAGGCAAGCCCTCCCCAATGCGCTTGTCTGTGGAGGCGAGCAACGGCACTCTGTCGTCTGGCTTCTCTATGGTTGGACCTCCGCACTCTGCGTCGGGAGAGCCGGCGTCAGGGACGCCGTCCAGTTCGAACGCGGAAGTAGAGCGGCCGTGAAAGCGCCCCTCTGGCCGCCTCCCTCTCGGCGGTGCGGCGAGTTCCGCGCAGGCGCGCTGCGGTGGGGGAAGCGGCTCCTCACGGAGGAAGGAGGTCAGCCATGGCCGCCTCCATGATCTGCGGCCGGGCGGCGCTGGCAGCTGCCAAGCGGCTGAGGGACGGCAGCGGAGGCCGCCACGGTGTCCTGAGCGCCGCCGCCAAGGTGAGGACGGGGCGGGTCCAAGACTGGGTTTTACGGGAGCCCCCCGCCAGGGCTGCTTCTGCTAATCCTCCCGTGCCCTTTTAGCTGGATATTTGCCAGGCAGCACCTGTGCCTCTGAGAAGTCCCCCCCCCCCCCCCGTTTGCTGCTTGAGAAAATCCTATTCTTAGAACACAGAGTGGAGGGTAGCAATGGCTTAGTTTAAGAATGGAGGTGTGGGAGAGAGTCAGTCGCGAAGTCCCTTAAAGCACTGGGAGGCTGCGGTCAGACACTCTAAACAACCCACTTTCAGTGCACTTTCCAACTGGATTTTTTTCCCCGTTCGCACAGTAAAATCCAGTTGGAAAGTGCAATAAATGTGGACCGCAGCCGAAGAGTCCAGAAACGCCCTAGAGACCAGCAAGGTTTTCAGGATATTTTCAGGGAGACGGGTAATTTTCAGGGAGAAAGGGGAAAATGAAGTAAACAGGTTGAGAACCACTTCCTTAGTTGAGAACCACTTCCTCAAGGGATTTCTATTAGGGAGCAGTGTTCCCTCTAAGCTGAGTTAGTGTGAGCTAGCTCACAGTTTTTTAGCCTCCGGCTCACACATTTTTGCCTTAGCTCAGGAAGGATGGCTCCAGAGCAAACTAATTTATGCAGTAGACAAATTGCTCGCTCACAACTTTAATGCCAGTAGCTCACAAAGTAGAATTTTTGCTCACAGGACTCCACAGCTTAGAGGGAACATTGTTAGGGAGCCCTGCTCTTTGTTTAAGTCATCAGGGATGTGGAGTTAGTTGAAGGGGGGTGTGTGTGTGAGAGAGACCAAGTTTGAGGATAACACCAGAATGCTGAAAATTCTAAGTAGTCTTTGCAGAGCTCCAAAGAGATTCCCCCCCACAAACCTGAGCTAGAGACGTAGCTGTTGACGCTTAACGTCATGCAATTGCGAAATGACGTATGTCAGGATAAAAACACTTCCTGATTTCACATCTGTGGACTGCTGTGCTGCATTGACTAAGTGGGGGAAAAGATCTTGGAGGGAAAGCATCAAGCTGGTACACGATGTCAGTGGGAAAACTGCAAGTTGTGCGCTAGGAATTGAAACGGATTGTCGGTAGATTCTGTACGGAATGTTCTTCTTACCATTTATAATATATGGAGCACGCTGCTACAATGTGCAGAAAAGGCCAATGGCTTTAACAGAGGATTATCCTCATTATTAGCAGAAAGGGAACCTCTGGGTTCAGTGACAGGATGCTTCTGACTTCCATTTACTGTGGGGCAGACGGTGAGGGAGGTCTGTTGCTTGTGGGGTCTCTGGAAACAGCTGCATGGCTACTGTGGGCAACAGGGTGTTGAATTAAGTAGCCCTCTGAGCCTGATCTACCAAAGTATTGCTCAGGTAGCCTGTCCTGATCCCCAGGATGGGTTATAATTTAAAACCTTGCATAAATAACAAATGTTACAGTGGAGAAAAAAAAAACTGTGCTAAAAGAAAAAACCAGCAAAGAGACCCATGGGCACTGGCCATTAAAAGCAGCTCAGCCTTAATGGCAAGTCTGAGAATGCTCCTGAAAGATAGTCTGGTTAGTGGCTTGATCGCTTGCTGGAGAAGGAAGATTGACTACTGTGGGCCGCCTCTGACAGTGTCTTTTGTGCGTCTTTGTTGTTGACAAACAGCATACCTGTGGGATAATTGAGAAGGGTACTCTCAGTGACACTGATATGATTTATACCTGCTTTAGGAGCTTGCCACCATAGATCTAAATTCTGGTTTAACAAGTTTGTAGACGAGCTGGTTTCTAATAACTATTGCTATGGTATGTGTGTAGGAGGGGAACACTCAGAAGCCATAGGAATGCATTTCACTTCCCATCACACTCTCGTGATTTAGGACCCAACTGGTGCGGCTGAGTTGTGCCCTTTTATGCTCATTGATTTCAGTGGACTTGCAGGGATGTAACGCTGCTTAGGACTGCACTGTGAGCCATTGATCTGTTTTGATTTAGAAGGGAGTTTGAAAGTCATCCTGTACAACAACCTGTCCTTAAAAAAGGAGTTAACTTTCCTTCCAAACTTCTTTAGGCAGATAGATGAAGATGGGTAGCTGTGTTAGACTGCTCATAGCAGTAGAAAAGAGTCCAGTAGCACTTTAAAGACTAACACAATTTGTATGTGCTTTCTTGAGTCACTGGGTATGAGCTTTCTTGAGTCACTGGCATTGCTCACTTCTCTATATCTGAAGAAGTGAGCAGTGACTCATACCCTACAACAAATGTTGTTAGTCTTTAAGGTGCTACTGGACCCTTTTCTACTTCTTTAGGCAGATTATTCTATTGTGAACGTCTTAGGATAGTCACACATTTTGAATGGTATTTGACTTGAAGCTTGTGTGCAGTTCTGGAGGCCTCACTTCAAAAAGGAGTGGAGCGGGTGCAGAGGAGAGCGACGAGGATGATCAGGGGCCTGGAGACCAAGTCCTATGAGAAAAGGCTGAGGGACTTGGGAATGTTTAGTCTGGAGAAGAGACTGAGGGGGGACAGGATTGCTCTCTTTAAGTATTTGAAGGGTTTAAGACAGGAGAACATAAGAGAAGCCAATGCTGGATCAGGCCAATGGCCCATCCATACTCTGTCACACAGTGGCCAAAAATACCAGGTGCCATCAGGAGGTCTAGCAGTGGGGCCAGGACACTAGAAGCCCTCCCACTGTTGCCCCCCCAAGCACCCAGAATACAGAGCATCACTTGCCCCAGAGTTCCTATCTATAGGTAAAGGTAAAGGTTCCCTTGCTTGAAAGCCAGTCGAGTCTGACTCTAGGGTTGTGGTGCTCATCTCCGTTTCAAAGCCGAAGAGCCAGCGCTGTCCGAAGACGTTTCCGTGGTCATGTGGCTGGCATGACTAAGCACCAAGGCGCACGGAACGCTGTTCCCTTCCCACCGAAGTGGTCCCTATTTATCTACTTGCAATTTCTTGCTTTCAAACTGCTAGGTTGGCAGGAGCTGGAACTAGAGACGGGAGCTCACTCCGTCATGCGGCAACTTGGGTCTCGAACTGCTTAACCAATGACCTTCCACAGCCTGCAGTTCAGCGTCTTAACCACTTGAGCCACCGCAGCTTCTATCTATACCTTGTGGCTAAGAGCCACTGATGGACCTCTGCTCCATATGTTTACCTAATTCCCTCTTGAAGCCCCCCATGCTTGTAGCTGCCGCCACCTCTTGTGGCAGTGATGTGATCCATGGGGTCATGAAGAGTCGGACTCAACTGTGCAACTAACAACAACAACAACACTTAGAGGAGGGCAGGGAGCTGTTCCTGTTGGCAGCAGAGGAAAGGATTCGCAGTCATGGGTTTAAGTTAAGGGCAGGAAGGTACCAGCTGGATCTTAGGAAAACTGTTTTACAGTAAGAGTTGTGCAAGAGTGGAATCAGCTGCCTCGGGAGGTGGTGAGCTCCCCCTCACTGGCAGTCTTTAAGCAGCGGCTGGACA